CTCGGGGCTGGGGCCTGGGGGCCGTGGCCTGTGTGGCCTGAGCCCCGACTCTGGGCCTGAGCCCTGTTTTCCCGGCGGTTTCCATCGAGAGCCTTTTGTTTCCGCGGGTGGTTGGAGGCCGAGGCGTTGCCAAGGTCTCCGGTGGAGCCCTAAGAGGGGGGGTGAACCCAGAGCTGCTGGGGAAGATGAGTTTGGGGACGGTTCGGGTGGCGGGACGGAAGGAAAGAAAGCGACGTCGCGGTGGGGTTTGCCTGGGGACAGCGGCAGCTCCTGCCTCGGCGCTGTGGTGGTGGGAGGGGATGCAAAGGGGTGAAGCGGGGAGCGTGCTGCCCCCCCCGGGCTGGGACGGGGGCTCAGCTCTCCGTGCGCCCTCCGGGAGGGCACCGCTGCTTCTGGGCACAACTGGGGAGCGCTTGGTGGGGGAGGGATCGCTCCGGAGCTGCCCGGTTGCCGAGGCTGGGTGAGCGGAACCCCCTGGGCTCAGCAGGAGGGGCTGTTCTGGGCTCCGTTACCAGCCATGATGTGTATGGGGTGAAGGAGCGGGGCTTTTCTCAGCTGCCTTACTTGCCCGTTGGCCTTTAAATGTGGCCCATAAATGGGGCAGCAGGACGTGGGATGGCAGGGGCGTTAGGTCAGAGCAGTGAGGAGGCGGGTGCTGGTGCTGGGCACTGTGAGGAGTTCACCTGGAGCCTCTCCAGGACTCACATTCAGGTTTTTTTTTGGCATGTGAAAATACAGAGGAAGGTTTTTTTTGTCCCATTTGGAAACGGTTACAGCTCGGTGTGCCGGCGTTCGTAGGAGACAGCTGGGAGCAGAGCGTGTGGTTTCCTTGCCGTGCGAGGCTGGAAAGTGCCTTCACTTCTCCGTCTGCACTGTGCTTCCAGGGCCCCTTCTCTCTGCTTGAGGATGAAGAGCACCCGCAGCAGCTCCTCCTTCCAGGGCACTGGTTCTGGCGGCGTGGAGCTGAGCCTGACCGGGCTCCCCGCACCAGTCTCGCGGCGCCCCAGCAGTGCCTCTCCTGCCAAGCACATGGCACGTTCCATCTCCGTCACCGCTGATGGCAAACCGAAGAGGAACGCTCCTGTGAGTCCTGGGCAGGAGAGGGTCCCTTCCTTGTCCTTCACATCCCTGTGCTGATTTCCTTCTGGAAACTCCCAAGTTCTTGGTATCTTCTGCTGGATGCTGTGGTGATTTTGGGCCCAGCCTGCTCCTTGCTGAGCACCCTCTGTTCTTGTTGGGATCAGCAGGAGCTGTAGACGCAGTTTCTCGCTGACTGGGGCATTCTGTAAGTGTTTTTTCAGCCCAGGTGCTCACTGGGCTCTGTTAAGATCCAGTAGTGGAGAGTCTCTGCTCTCCTTGCTGAGTAATCCCTGTTGCCGTGGCAGTCTTCCTCCGCCCTTGTTTGCAGGGCAGGTAATGAGCGGGGCCGGTCTCCGCTGGGGAGCTCACGCAAAACGAAGGGGTTTGTGCTGGTGGGAGCCCGAGAGGGAGTGGGGTGTCACTGCACTCTGCATCAAGTTTGGCAGCCGTGGGGATATGGGAAACATCCGTGTCAGGGCTGCGTTGAAGGGTTGGAAGGGTGGCACCACCAGCAGTGATATTTTAGGACTTGCAGGGGGAGCCTGCCTAGGCCTGGCATCCCAGCTCTGCCTGCCCGTGCTTCTTCTTAACATCGCTGCTGAGTTTAGCTCTCTCCTCCGCAGGAAGACGGGGGATCCCGGGCGATGAACAACCTCCGGCGGTCCAACAGCACCACCCAGGTTAACCAGCGGGTGAACAGCGCGCGCAGGTACGGCTCCAGCCCCCCGACACGCGTCTGTCTGTCCCGGGGATGGGACTGTGGGAAACCCCACCCGTCTGTCTGACCTCCCTTGTCCTGTGAGGGAGCCAGAGCCTTTCAGAAATGTGCATTAAGTTCTGTCACACACGTTGGGGGTTATAATCTGGCCTTGGAAAGCCAAGGTCTGGGGTTTTGCTTGCTTTTTTTTGTTTGTTTGTTTTGAGGGGAGGTCACTTGTTTAGGATTTGGGGTAGTAGAGTGTATTTCTGTTGCTAGGAAGCCTCTGTTGCAAAAGACAACCTAATTCTGAGGGACGGGACTGTTCTATTACAACAGTCCCTCATGGACCCTCTGGACTGCGCTGGGAGACGAAAGGTTCTTCTGTCTCCAGTGACCTCCTGGCGCTGTCTCTGAATCGTGATTTTTCCGTTCTCTTGTTGCCCTGTGCCCGTCTCTTTAATATATTCCATCTCCACACGTCACGCTGAAATCTAAAGCTCTGTAAAACCGAATCAGTCATCGATTCCGTGGTTGTGTAATGTTCCTCCATCCCTTCTCTCCCCATGGCGTGACGGCAGGCAGTAGGTGTGCCTCGGCTCTGCGCTGTGCGTGCTGTCAGCGTGCCCCGCTGCCACCAGAGCCTGCTCCTCGCAGTAGCACCCGCGCGGGATGCGAACCCTGCTGTCGCTCACTTGTTCCCGTTTGTCTGCCTGCAATATTAACTCCTGCACACGTGTTGTTTCCTCCTCTCTGCCTTCCCTGGGCTCGGGCTAAAGCTCGGAGCAGACAGGAGACTTCCTGACCTTCTTTGAGAGCGGTTCTGGGGGAAGAAAGAAAGTGGCGAGTCTGAGCAAAACCTCCCCGGAAAAGAAAACCACGTGGAACATCTTGGTGAGGATGGGGACATCCCGGGGCGGGTGGGCTGTCAGCTCTGCCTGCCTGAGTCGTCGGCTGCCTTTGGTGGAGGAGAGGGAGGGTTTCCCTAGACCCGAGGAGGGGGTGGTACAGCTCATCTGCGATGGCCAGGCTGGGCCTTCCTCAGCCTGCAGTCAAAGCTGCCATGGTTGCGATGGCCAGTGTGCTCAGCCTTATTTCTGGCCCAGCACCTCTGTGCTTCTGGCAGAGACAGGCAGAGGCACAGGCAAAGCCTTGAGGCTGCTGTGCTGTGGAACAGAGTTTTCTCACGTGGGGGAGAGAAACTGGCTTGCGAAGGAAGAGGGTGGTGCTCGAGGACGTGGGTTTGGCGCTTGCCTGCGCTCACGCCTGCTGCCTCCGTGGCAGGATGATCAGCCACGAGCGTTCCCGGGCCCCGCCGGCTCCCGCGGCGTCGAGCCACCAGTGGGCATGAGGAGGAAAGAAGCCACCGTGCTCCTGGCAGCCAACTTCACCGCCAACAACAGGTAGGAGAGGCGGTGCTGAACCGGAGCCGGGCTGGTGTTGGGAGGAGCTACACCTGGGTGGAGGAGGGGGTGCTGGTGCTCTGCCTCTGCCAGGGCACGGGGGTCAAGTGCGGGGCAGACCGATGGCAGTGTGTGCCAGGCTGGCTGGCCGGGACGCCTTTGGAGCTCAATGGATGCGTGGGAGAGGCTGCTGTCGCTCTAGGAATGGGTAAAACATGAGCCCTTCAGGGCCAGGAGGAACTTAAGCCAAGGCTGCGAGTAGAATAGCCTGAAGAGCAGGCTGTGAGATCTGCTCGGGCTGTGTCTGTCTGTCTGTCTGTGCGTGGGGAGCGAGGAGTGAGCTCGAGGGAGCGGCTGAGTCTCTCGGGAGGCTCCTCGCCTCGGCGGCTGCTCCAGTCGGTCGCGTTGGGTTGAGGGATGTAACACAGGGAGTGTCCCTTGTCAGTGTGTCCCGTCCCCTTCGGGTCCAGCGAGTCCCAACGCCTCGTTTTCTCTCCACAAAAGGAGCAACAAGGGCGCGATGGGCAACTGTGTCACCACCATGGTGCACAACAACTACTCCACTGCCGAGAAGGGTCCTGCGCCCAAAAGCTCCAACCAGGCACCCAGTTCCCTCAAGTAAGTGTGGTGAGGTCCTGGCTGGGGGGGGCTGTGCTGAGCCCCTGTTCCTGTGCAGATGTGACACGGGATGGGGCCGGATGGGGCCAAGTAGCTTCGTTTTCTCCCTTAGCAATGTCGTCAAACCGACCTCAAATGAGGATGGTGAAAGCAGCAGCTTCAGCTTCGTCAAGTCGCAGAAGAATTTCTCCAGCAACAACATCATGACCCGCAACAACAACAGCAGCCTGCCCCGGAGGAAGGAGGTGACCGAGGAGGAGGCAGAGAGGTGAGGCAGAGCCGGTGCGCGATGAGGCAGGAGGACGGTGCCAGGCGGAGGGGTGAGCTCCCAGGGAGCTGGCACTGGTTTGTTCTTGTCCGATGGGCCTCCAGATTTAGGAAGGGCCCCTCTTAGTGCACCCACAGAGGCTGATTTACCCTCCCCGTGACTTGGCTCTGCGCTTTGGCCAGTCCTTATCAAAAACCCAAGAGTTCCACCCCAAAACTCTGCCCGTGAAAAGGCCTCGTGGAGTCGGGGTGTGAGGGGACAGCAGTCCCGGTGCCGTGGGCGAGCTGCCCGTGCTCTGCTGCAGCAGGACGGGGCTGGCGGCTGCAGGGGGTCCCTGGGGGCCGCGCTGACCCTCCCTCTCCCCACAGGTTCATCCAGCAGGTGAACTTGGCCGCCGTGACCATCCAGCGCTGGTACCGCCGCCACTCGCAGCGGCACAGGGCGGCAGCAGCGGCTCTGGGGCGGTTGTTGGCTTCCAAACGGGAGGTCAGTCCCATCCTCTGCCTCGTAGCTCAGAGCCTTCTGACACCCGTGTCCTGCTCGCCTTGCTGACGGGGGAATTCGCGGCCCTTTAGTCACCCCCCAACTGAGATCTGAGCTGTGGGAGACGAGCAGGCTTTGGCTTTGCGTCTAAGCCAGCCCCTCTTGGTCCAGAGAGCCGGGGAGGGGCCCGTCCCTGCAGGGATGTGCTGGCCGTGCAGGGGGAAAGCCTGGCTTTGGTTCCAGGGGGTAGTTCAGGCCGGGAGCCCCTAGGCTCAGTGCTGCACGGCTCTGGTCTACCCTTCAGCTACGAGCGGGCAGATGCTTGGCAACAGCAGCACAAATCCTGCTGAATTCTTATTGTCTCGGACACGCTGGTGGCCAGAGGAGGGATCCCCTGTCTCGGCTCTTTATAGCGAATCAGTAACGAGTTGGCTCTTTAGAGAGCGACGACTCATCTGCTGCTATTTGTGTTTCTTTGTGTTTAATTATTTATCCCAATAACAAAAAGTACTGTAGCTCTTGCATGTGAGAGTCTATTTTTAAGCCTTGTCTCCTCGGTGGTTTCAGACCCAGATGACTAATAATTGCATTGAGTATCTAAAGAAAATAAGCTGCTCTGAAGTGGAGCTTTTCTGAGGGCTCTTTACCTGCACAGAGGGGAGGACGGGGGGGGGATGGAGAGCATGGATACGGGCTGACCTCAGATGCAGCGTGCCCTTTCCCACTTCTCTGCTGTGGGCAGTGGGCGCTGCGGAGCTCTCAGTAACATTTTTGACCCTCCTCTCTGGAAGGAAAGGCAGCAGCAGATGGAGGAAGGGAATATCCTGGATTTACGCGAGAGGAAGGACAAGGAACGCCAGAAGATCCGAGAGGAGAAGGCGCGCCTGGCCAGGCGCGCTGCCATCCAGGTAGGGCCAGGGCAAGGGTGTCGTGGCCTGGCTGAGGTCAGTTTGTTGGCATCTTCTTGCGAGGCAGCGAGAGAGCCTCTGCTCTGCACCTCTAGGGCTTTGCACGGAGCAGGATTAGAGCCAGCCATGGCAATGGAGTGCTCCCTACGGAGCCGGAGGTGCCGTAGAGCGGTTTCCCGTTGTGCTCCTGCCAAGCCTTGGCAGCTCGATCAGAGCTCGCAAAGACAATGCTGGTTTCAGTCTTGGTTTTGGGAAAAGGGGTGACCGCCTCGGACCAGGGAGCTGTAGCTGCAGCTCCCCAGGGTGGCCAAGGGCAAGAATGCCCTGGGAAAGGGACCCTCCTGATGAGCGGGGGCCCTCTAGGGTGGGCCGAGCGCCGCTCCGTGCCTGCTGGCAGGAAGCACTTCGCTGTTTTCACCCTGTTCTTGCAGCCCCGGTTGCAGCAGGACAGGGCCGGTGCTCCTGGGGCACAGACCGGGGGGGGCTGGCACAGACTGTGCAGAGTTGTGCATTGCCTTGCGCTAGAGCCGAAGGTTTTTTTAAAACCCCGATTTCTCTTTGCCCTAAATGGAATTGTGTTTCGTTGGGGCGGAGGGGAGGGGGGGTGTCAGGGGAGACGCAGCAGCGAGCAGCTGGAGGACGCTGAAATGCTGCAACAAGCCTTGCAGACACGTGCTCGTGCCTGAAGTGATTTCCCAAATCTCGGCTGAGGCGGCCCCCTGGGCACCGCGGCATCGCTGCGCTGCTTGGCCCTCGGGATCCGGGGGCCCTGTCCGGAGCAGCAAAGCACGTGGTGCAGGGATGGCGAGCGCTGGCCAGACCCTGGCCACCACCAGAGCAGCAAAGAGAAGAGCTGCTGTTCCTGTGCCTCCCCTTTCTCCAGAGTTGTCCTTGTTAACCCCTCAGCAGCAAGCGCGCGGGTTGTTGCTGCCTCCCAGGCCCTTGCCAGCGCTCGAAGCAGGGCAGGAACGTGTCAAAACACACCCTGTGCCCGGCAGGACGCTGACGCCTTGTCTGTCCCTACAGGAACTGCACCAGAAAAGGGCCCAAAAGGCTTTGGACGCAAAGCGCTTGGCAGAAGAAGAGCTCGCGCTGGTGAAGGAGAGCAGAAGGGTAGCAAAGAAGAAATCTGCCAAACCTGCTTCTGCAAGGAACGTCAGTCCCGCCAGCAGCGTCACCAAAGCAAATAACGCTGGTGAGTCCCTCCTGCAGGTCTCCGGAGCTTTTGGAGCAGGACCTGAGGGGGAGGGAGGAGGATGGAGGAGCAGTTCTCACTCTGGGGAGCTGCTTCGACGGGGCTGGTTGTTGCAAGCGCCTGACAACAGTCTGGTTCCTGCAGAGGCCAATTTCCACTCGGTACCTGCAGAGCCAGAAGAAAGCGGCCTCGCAGACCTCGGCTCCGCGCCCTCGCGGGACCCCGGGGCAGAGGACAAGCTGCAGGTGGGTCTGGCTTTGCCTCGTGGGGCTCCTGGCACCACCTCTTCTGCCAGGGTGGCTTTGGAGCCTCTGCTGATTTCTGGGGAGATCCAGCAAACTGTTTTATTGCAAGGTGCATCGTCTTCTCCCCTAGGATGTGAGCTCCAGAGAGACGGGCGGCGAGGATCTGGAGACGGTGGTGACTGCTGTCAGCAGGGCTCAGTCCAAGGTCACGCTCAATGAGCTGCTGGACACGCTCAGGCTCTTGGAGGAAGAGCCAGAGCTGTTGCCCCCGCCGAAGCTCTTCAAGAAGGACAGATATGCCTGGATTGACGGGGTAAGCAGAGGGCCGAGGCCGGTGCATCCACCCCCTGACAGCAATGGCTGCCTGGGGAGAGCAGGTTCCCCTGGGGCTGCCTCCTGCCAGCACCTACAGGGGCTGGAGGGTGAGAAATGCAGCTGGTTCACTGGGGGAGAGAGGCAGAGGAAGGGGGGAGGCTGGTGCAGCCAAGACTTGAGCATCTGCAGGGAGGAGCGAAACCGTGCAAGGGCTGTGGCGGGAGTGGGGTTAGCACAGGCTGGCTACTGGGGTGCAGTGGGAGGACTGGGCTGCAGTGATGGGGAAGAGCCAGCACCTCTTCTCCTGAGCCTTCCCCTGGGTGCTCATTCACAGCTGTGTCTGCCCAGCAGGAGCCCAGCTCCAATTCCTTAACTGCTGACAACTTGGAGAAGTTTGGGAAGCTGAATCACTCCCCGGGGGTCCCTGAGGATGGGGCCCTGCTCTCGGAGGCCAAACTCCAAAGCATCATCAGCTTCCTGGATGAGATGGAGAAGTCGGAACAGGAGAGGCCCAGGTCAGCTGCCTCGGCCACGCAGCGGGAGGTGAGTGCTGAAGCGAGGGCCCGTCTGTGCTGGAGAGGTGGAGACCCTGGCGGGAGGGTTCCCAGTGCTCCCCACCTCCTTTTAATTGTTTTCTTTGTCGCTGTGACAGGGTCTACTCTCGGAGGAGGAGCTGGCTCACTTGGAGCAGGCCTCAGCTGTTGCCACGGAGGTCACAAGCTCCATCATGAGGCTGAAGCTGGAAGTGGAGGAGAAGAAGCGAGCCATCAGCCTGCTGCAAACAGCCCTGGTGTGTGAGCCAGACGCGTCAGTGTGCCGGGGAATGAAGGCCAAGAGCCCTCAGCCCATGTTTTCTTGGGGCAGTGACTCCGAAGCACAAGATGAGGGCTCTGTGATGAACAGGGCTTCCCAGCTGCAGCGCTCCCGGAGCTAGTGCCGAGGCGCTGGCGGTCCGAGGATGTGCTGTGTGACTCCCTGCAGGGTCCTTCCCACTCTGGTGGGGGCTTTTCTGCCATTTCTGCCTGTTCTCACTTGAAAACCTTCCTCAGACTCCCCCCCCGGCAGGTGCCTGACGGGTCTCTCGGGACCTGGCTGAGCTCCTCTGTGCCCCCCGGGGGTTTGGGTGTCCTTGCTGACAGTGGGGCGGGAGCTGAGTCCCCGTCAGTCCCAGGGACTGATTTAGCTCCATTCCTCCTTGTTCTGGCCTGACGGTGCCTCCCAGGTCTGGCAGTTACCTCCTGTACACATGCTGTTGTAACTTCCCCCTCTAATGTCTTGTGGCTGTTTCTCCTCTGCATCCGAAAGGCTCAGCAGAGGGAACTGACTGTCCGACACGTCAATCAGACCGAGAAGGAGCTCGGCCACCAGCTCAGACTACAGAGGGAACAGTATGAGGCAGCTATCCAGAGGCATCTGGCCTTCATCGACCAGGTAATCTCTCACCCCAACTCCAAATGATGCTTCTGAAGCCAGAAGCTGAGCTGACTCTCCCTTGCCTGGCTGCCTGATGCCTCTTTTTCGCCCTGCTCCAGCTCATTGATGATAAGAAGGTGCTGAGCGAGAAGTGTGAGGCTGTGGTAGCTGAGCTCAAACAAGTGGACCAGAAGTACGGCAAGAAGATCACGCAGATGCAGGAGCAGCACGAGCTGGTGAGGGGACAGGGAAGGTGGCGGAGGCAGTGGGAGGAGACGTGTCACGGCCAGAGTTGGTTGGTTTTGCTCAAATGGGGCCTCTGCCTGGAGCAGTACGGCCTCTCTCACCTTGGTGGTTGTTCTGGGGAGCCCTTTGTGCAGAGAAAGGCCTCGGGGCCCGTGGAGCTTTGCCCTGGCTCCCCAAGAGGCTTCTGTCCTCTGCTGCCCAAAGCCGGGTGCACGGGCCCGACCAAGAGACGGTGGCAGCCCCCAGGGGCTCTGCTGGGAAAGACCCTTCCCACACATCCTGCTGCGGGCAGAGCTCTCCCCGGGCCGGGGGGCGACCGCGGGATCTTGCTTTGGCGGAGGCGAAAGCAGCTGCCGGCACAAACCCGCTGCTGCAGAGGAATTTGTACCCGTGGCCGTATCCTGAGCTGGGTGACTTCCACCCCCGGCGCAGGCCCAGGGCTGCGCTCAGACCCGAGTGGGGGTAAGATGATAAAGGACCATGGGGTGTGTTCGCTGGGCTGTTGCCCAGACGCACAGAGGGCTGTTCCCCTGGCGGGGCTGCGCTCGGGCTGGCAGCTGCCCTGGGGAGGGCAGAGAGCTCCCCCCCACCCCGCAGATGGAGACCTCGGCTCGCCCTGTGCCGGGCCTGGCAGGAAGGCAACGCCGCTGGCTCGCAGCTCCGCCGCGGGACTCATCCTGGCGCTGCTTGTCAGCCCAGTCCCTGCTCGGCCTTGGCCTTGGAGCTGCGGGCTCTGGAGAGGGGCGGGCGTTCGCCCTCCGCAGACAGAGCGAAGGCTCGCTTGGCTCGCTAGGCTGTGCTGTTTAAACCTGAGTTTTGAGCCCAGTCAGAGGAGAAGCCAGCGCAGGGTTGCTGTGCTGGGTGCCTGGAGGGGCCCCTTCCCGCGTAGGGGGGGGAACGGGGCTGGTTTTGCTGCCGCAGCCTGTGTGGGGCGGAGGAGGTGCCTCTGTTACCTCTGGCTCCCCGCTCGCAGCAGGGCAGCAGCACCGGGCACGGCCCAGGAGCTCGGCTCCGCTCTACGGCCCCTTCGCTGTCCCTGTTCCCTTGGGCTGCGCCTCCCCTCGCTCCGTGGGCCCCCGGCCCCCCCCAGCCCTGCCCGTGGCTCTCACACACACACAGCTCTTTGGTTTTGCCTCTCCCCTCCCCTCTCCCCTGTGACTGTGATTCCCCTTCTCTCTCCATTCCCTCCTTTCTTTCTCCCCAGGTCTGGCGCACTTTGGGCCCCTTTTGCGAGGTAAATGTGGTCTTTGCTTTTTTTTTTTTTTTTTGCCTTGCCCTTCTGCTCTCGCGCCCTGGCCTGCTCTGGCTCTGCAGGTGCCTGCAGGCAGCAGGGCTGGGCTGGGATCTCCGCGTCTGCAGCAGGGTCAGCCCCACCAAGGAGCCCCTTCACCACATCTCCTCAGCCCACGTGCTCAGCTGCTGCCTTCGGCCTCTCCTTGTCTTTCCGTGTGGATTTTCCTGCCCTTTTTTTTTTCCCCTAAGAGCTGTGTGGGCAGCCCCCTCCTCTTTCCCTCTCCTCTCCGTGCCACGGCTGGGTAATGAGCTCCTGGGTGTCCAGCCAGAGCTGTGACACGTCCCACGTCCTGCACACAGATGTCTGTCCATGCTGGAACAGACCCATTTCTGGCCTGGCTTTCCATCGGCCGGTGCCTTTCTCACCAGAAACCCCAGCACAGAAATACACGGTGCTTCGACCAGCTTTTGCCAACGGGAGTGCCGGGGAAGAGCTCCCTGGGCAGCAGGGCCTGGGTGTTTCTCCGGCTTCTGGCCGGAGCGGAGGGTCGAGAACGCAGGGAGGGCAGCGGCTGTGCCTGGGCTGTGCAGCCTCTGAGCCTTGGAAGAGTTTTGAGGTGCTGTAAGAGCTTGGTCTGCGGTGGTACCGCGATGGTGGGAGGTGTGTCTGTCTGTCTGTCCTTCTGCCGGAGGGTTTCCATGCCAGGGAGAGAGGGGAGGCTGGAGAAGAAAACATCTTCACACACGACCCCGTGTCTGCCCTGCGTGCCGGGACGGTGGGCAGCCCCCCATTCCCCTCTGCTCTGTCGGTGCTCTCGTGGCTCAGCCAGCGAGCATTTTCCCGAGGGTTTTGCTCTTTTCCCCCGTGCTCAGGGTCTGTGGGGCAGCAGCAGCCCCGTCCCGTGAGAGGAGACAAGGTGCTGGCAGAGCGTGTGGCTGCTTCTCCAGCCTGGGAGAACGTGCCTGGCCGGGGCTGTGCGAGTCACCTGCCTGCAGCTTGGGCTGCCTGCTCTTGCCTGCATCTTCTTTCTCGACAGCCGAGCTCCCAGGCTAATGGCTCTTCTCCCCTGGCTTGTCTCTGAATCTGTCTCATTTGCTTCTGAACAGGAGATCAAGAAACTGAAGGAACTGATGAGTGCAACCGAGAAAATCAGGCGGGAGAAGTGGATTGATGAGAAAACTAAAAAGATCAAAGAAATCACTGTGAAAGGTATGGGCACGGTCCCTTGGCGGTGGCAGGAGTCGGGCTGGTGCAGGGGTCACATCCATGCTGGTCCGGGAGAGGGGCAGAGCCCGGGAGAGGAGCCTCTGCCAGCTCAGGGAAGAGCTGCTCAGCGTGGGCAGACTCTGCTCCCTGTGTTCGGTAGAGACAGATGCTAGAGAGCAAGGAAACCCGTGTGTGCTCAGCCCCTCTTTCCTACCAGCCCCTCTTTGCTGAGTTTGCAGCCTCCTCCCCAGTTGGCCAAGGCCAAGGGCACCGGTGTTGGGGTCTGAACTGTCCTTCCCGCTGCCCCAGGGCTGGAGCCAGAGATCCAGAAGCTCATTGCCAAGCACAGGCAGGACATCAAGAAGCTGAAGATGCTGCACGAGGCCGAGCTGCTGCAGTCGGACGAGCGGGCTGCCCAGCGCTACGGCCGGCAAGCGGAGGAGCTGCGGGGCCTGCTGGAGCGGGAGAAGGAGGAGCAGAGCCAGCGGGAGAGGGAGCGGGCCCGGCAGCGGTACGTGGGGGCTGCGTGATGCTTTGGGGCTCACATGGGGGCAAATTCCCAATGTTTGCAGCAGTTAATATCCGCAGGGAGCAGCCTCTTTACCAGCCTGAGGTGGGAGGTGCCGGTGAACCAGGGGTCAGACCAGCCCCTGGTCAGCTCTGGAGGGGATGGGATGGAGCAGGGTCGGGGGGTGGATGAATGCCTGAAGCTGGGCACGTCCCTGAGGCCGCTGGGCACGTCCCTGAGGCTGCTGTGCCCCCCAGGTGTGAGCAGCAGCTGGAGCAGGAGGAGCAGGCATTGCAGCAGCAGCGGCGCCGGCTCTACGCCGAGGTGGCTGAGGAGAAGGAGCGGCTCAGCCAGCAAGCGGCCAGGTGAGAGGGCTCGGGAGCAGCGGGGCTGTTTTTCCCCAGGCCCGGCTTTGGTGGGCAGGGGGCTGGTGCTCGGGGAGGGGGGCTGGCAAGCCCAGGCCAGCGCAGACGTTGGGAGCTGCGGTCTGCGTGCCGGCAGGCAGAGAGCGGAGGCGGAGGAGCTGCGGCGGCAGCTGGAGGCGAGCAGCTCGGCCGTCACCAGGGCGCTGAAGGAGGAGTACGCGAAGGAGAGGGAGGAGCAGGAGAGGAGGCATCAGGTCTGGTTTTCCCCTCACCTCTGGGCCCTGGATTGCCGCTCTTGGGTGCGAGCAGTCCAGTCCCCACGCCGAGGTGGTGCCGGGGGCTGCTCCCAGCCAGCGTGGGGTGAGCAGTTGCTTTCTTATCTCTCCCCAGGCAGAAGTGAAGGTGCTGAAGGACCGGCTGGAGATCGAGAAGCAGGCCTGGGAGGCGAACTACGTGAAGAAGGAGGTAACGACGAGGGCTGTCCTCCGGAGGTGCCACCCTCGGGATCTGGGAGGGTTGGAAGCAACATTTGCCATCTCTGTCCCCAGGAAGCCTGGCTGCTCACCCGGGAACGGGAGCTGCGGGAGGAGGCGAGGAAGGAAAGAGACAAAGAGATCGAGTTGGTGATCCAGCGCCTGGAGGCCGACATGTCCTTGGCCAAGGAGGAGTGCGAGAGGGCAGCAGAGAACAGGTAGTGAGGAGAGGGAGGAGGGAGCCTGCGAGTCCCAGCTCCTCCCGGGGTGGTCCCCTTCCCCTGAGCCCTGTGCATCTCTCCAGCAAGCTCTGGTGGGGTGAAGTTCACCTCTCGCTGAGGAAACGACCCTGGATCTCTCGTGGGGCAGATCTCCCCCCCACTCCTTGCTGCTGTGTCGGGGTCCCTCCTGCAGCGTGGTGGTGCCTGGGGACGGGCCCTGCAGTGCTGGGCTGAGCCAGACTGCGTGTCCTTTCCCCCCGTTAGGATTAAGAGGATCCGAGACAAGTACGAGGTAGAGCTCCAGGAGCTGGAGAGGTCTGAGCGGAAGCTGCAGGAGCGCTGCAACGAGCTGAAGGGGCGGCTGGCAGAGCTGGAAGGGGAGAGCATTCGTCTGCAGGGGCTGCTGAAGCACAAGGAGCAGGAGGTGGAGGAGATCCAGAAGGTGGGTGCTCCGTGCCCTGCTGCACCCCGGCCCCGCATCGCCCCGTGCCTGTCAGCACATCAGTGTCCCCTCTCTGCCCTGCTGCAGGTGAAGGACCAGCTGGCCCAGGAGCGGAGCAGCCTGGCTGAGGTGATCCGGCAGGAGTTTGCCGACAGGCTGGTGGGGACGGAAGAGGAGAACAAGCGGCTCAAGGCGGAGATGGCGGAGATGAGAGCCCGGCAGCGCCTGGAGCTGGACAGGGTAGTGCGGGAGAAGGACAAAGAGCTGGAGGAGCTTCACAGGAGGTGAGGATGCGCTGGGCTGGGCTGACAGCTGGGGCTGCGGGTGTGGAGCTCCCTGGGGTGCGTTTCAGGAGCGTGTCCGCAGGGCGGCATCCTCCACAGAATCCCAGAATCATCTTGGCTGGAAAAGCCCCTGCAGCTCCTCCAGCCCAACCATGACCCTCCCCCTGACCGTTCCCAACTCCCCCAGATCCCTCAGCGCTGGCTCACCCCGACTCTTCAACCCCCCCCAGGGATCCCGGGGACTCCCCCCTGCCCTGGGCAGCCCATTCCAACGCCCAACAGCCCCTTCTGCACAGAAATCCTTCCTCAGAGCCAGCCTGACCCTGCCCTGGGCAGCTTGAGGCCATTCCCTCGGGGCCTGGCGCTGGGGCCTTGGCTCCAGAGACTCATCCCCCCTCTCTGCCCCCTCCTGGCAGGGAGTTGCCGAGGGCCAGGAGGTCTCCCCTCAGCCTCCTCTTCTCCAGACTGAACCCCCCAGTTCCCCCAGCCTCTCCCCAGCAGACCTGTGCTCTAGATCCTCCAGTGCAGCTTCCAGTCCTGTCAGGGCAAAAGGGGCAGCGGGGTCTCACCCGAGCTGGCTGCCTGCTCAGCCGCTGTCAGTCCTTTGGCTGTTGTGACTTGTAGCCTGCTCTGTGTCACTCTGTCCCCAGGGTGCTCCCTTGTGTGCCTGGAGGATGCGGTGGGCAGCTGGAGCAGCGTGAGGGCTCCTGCCAGCTCTGTTTGTGGCTGCTCCTGGGCAGGGGCACTGCAAGCCGGCCTGGTTCATGGCCAGCTCCCGGCAGGCTCTGCCCTGGGGACGGAACGATACCCGTGATTGCAGCCATGGCATCTTGCTCCGTGGATTTGCCCCTCCAGAGGGGCTGGGAAACTGATTTCCCCCCTCCCTGAGCGCAGGGGAGGGAGCAGCCTGCTGCTGGGTCAGGGCTGGGCTGGCTGCTGCAGAGCCACAGAGCTTGGGGACAGTTGTGGTGTCCCCAAAACGCACCAGGGCCCCAGGCTGCGGGGAGCAGGGTCTGTGCCGTGGGGCTCGGCTCCATCCTGCACTCACTGGAGAGACGGTGCTGGGAGCGTCGGGCAGAGCCATAAGTCTTCCTCTTCCCTCCAGCCTGCCTGCGGAGGAGGCATTTTGCAAGTAAAAAGAGAATCGGAAGGGGAAGCGCGTGGTGTCCTGCAGGAGCTCTTCCTGCGTGGGGCAGAGCCGTCCCTCCCGTCAGTGTCCCCGCGGAGCTGCTCCCCGCCAGCGGTGACGAGAGGCCGTTGGACGAGCGCTCGGAGCTCGCTGCCTCTCCCGGGTCCCGCCGGGTGGTTCCCACCCGCCCAGAGCCTGGCTCATAACTCGGGTGTGAGATAACGAGGATCTCCTTTCCGCTTCCGTCCCTTACGTCCAGCCTGGCAAAGGTTGAAACGCGGAAAGTCTGGTGCTTGGAGACCCGGGGGGAAGAGTGCGGCCGTGAGGGAGCAACCGTGGGCTTGAGAAACGGGGAAAAACTTAAAATCCCCTCCCTGTGGTCCTGTTAATTAATTAAGTTTTGTGAAGCTAATGTTCCCTTCTTCCTACAGATGACATAACGCTCGCTAAAGGCGTTTGTAGCCTGTGACAGCGCCCGGAGCCGCCGCTGCCGCGCGTCAGGGCGGGGGATCGGGGCTGAAATCGCCCTCCTGGGGCACGGGGCCAGCCCGGTGATGGGGCTGGGGTCCTCAACCTCGCTCTGTCCGTCTGCTCAGGGTGAAGACGGCAGTGGTGAGGAAGGAGGAGAGTGTGAGCAGCCTTCGGAAGCAGTACGAGGTGAGTGAGGGGGGCAGCCGGCCCCGCTCCACCCCGGGGCGCAGCGAGCTCCCCCTCTCTGTGCCCCTTGCAGGCGGCTGTGCAGAGAGCCAACCGCCTCGAAGCCCTCCTGGAGCAACAGCGAAAGCAGCTGCTGGTCACCAAATGACCCCTCGCCGACGGGTAGGGCTTGGGGGTGCTCTGGGGTGCCCACTGGACCCACGTTTGGGGGGAGCGGGCGCCTGGGGCTGGGCTTGGGCTCTCCCTCCCCTCCCTCCACCTTCAGTTTTCACAGCCTGGTCCTGGCGCTGTGGCCGTGAGCCCGCCCGGGGCAGCCTTGGGGTGTTCGGGGGTTGTTTTAACAGTAAATCTGTTGGTTTCTACAGCTGTTTGTGTTTGATCTGTGTCCTCTGTGGGCACGGGGGGCTCTGCCCTGGCGCCACCCACAACTTCTTTTTCTTTGCTGGTGCGGGTGGGCAGCACCCCCCTCCCTCCCCCCTGTTCCTGCGTCCTGAGACCTTCCCCGTGGTGGGATTGTGGGACCTGCGGAGCTGAGCTGGGCCGTGGGAGCTTCCTCTCGGGAGCAGCTGGAGATTTTAAGGTTGGGGGCCTGGGCTGAGCCCCCCCCAGTCCCGTGAGCCAGTGAGGGAGGGTGGTGGTGGGTGCTGTCACCCACAGCCCAGGCACACGGCTGCTGGCTCCGACCGTGCCTGGCTCTGCTCCTTCTAAACCAAAATATCCAGGGTGCTGCGGCGCGGCGGTTTGTGGTCCCGCAGCCTCTCCTACCTGCAAATCTCTCCTCGCCCCTGACAGGACGGGAAATGCCTGGGCTGGGCCGGCGGCATCTGTTTCCTCTCGGCGGGAGCGTGCGCCCGCTCCCCCGCAGCCTCTTCCCTCCAAGCAGGGGGGGCGAGCAGCTGTTGGCTCGTCGGAGCCCCGGGGGGTTCCTCATCCCTCCCCCCAGCCCGTGCGCTCCTCGGGCAGCGCTGGGTGGGCTGCGGGGCTCCCTCTGCCCCCGGCAGCACTGCCAGAGCCCCCTCCCTCCCCCGGGGTGCTGCTGGGTGCAGAGGGACCCTTTGGTGCTCCAGCCCAGCTTGGCCACTGCCTGGCACTGGTGTTGGTCCTGGTGTGGGCTCCTGGCTGCAGCTGCGGGGGGGGGGCGCGGTCCCAAGGCCCCCGGGGCTGCTGTCAGCCCCCACATGCCCCTTTACCCCCACCCGTGCTTGGGCTCTGGCCGGGGGTGGCTTGGCCAGGGGTGGGTCCTCCAGCCCCGGGTGCTGGTGGCTGCGGCGGCGGGGCCGCATCCTGCCCGGCTGCTCTCCCCTCTGGGGCTGCTCTCTGCTCCCTCCTTGCTGAGCTCTTCCCCTCTCAGCCCT